TGAATTTTTAAACTTAAAAGGTGTAATTGATATATCTTTTTATTATTATTAATATTAAAAACAATAAAAACTAACATTAATTCATTATCAATTTTAATTAAGTCATTAATTAAACAAAAATCAACAATAAAAAAACAATTAACTCATACCTTTAAATTACATATTAGAAAAGAGTTTTTGGTCAGTAGGAATTCCTGCAGACACTACTTGGAGTTTGAGAAAAATCCTAAAACTTAGAACATATGCTAGACCTCTGGTGAAGCATATAGTTGGTAAAGGTGACACTATTTTCCTCTGGTATGATTCTTGGCATCCCAAGGGACCTCTTATCGAAGCATATGGGCAGAAAATTGTACGAGATGCAGCCATTCCCTCTCAAGCAAAATTGTCTCATGTAATCCAGGGGGAGTATTGGAAATGGCCTCCTGCTAGGTCCCCTGAATTGTTGCAGATTCAAATTGCTTTGTGTGGAATGTTATATCCTAATCAGGCTATGGAGGATCAGGTTGTTTGGTTGGCTTCTCCATCAGGTTCTTTTCGAACAAGTGCTACTTGGAACTTCCTTAGGCGAAAAAGATCTAAAGTACCCTGGTTTAGACTCATTTGGTACTCAAATTCTATCCCCAAACATAGTTTTATTGCTTGGCTGGCTATATTAGATAGACTATCTACCAGGTCTAGGAAGAAGAATTGGTCTTCTTCCATTGATGACACTTGTGTGCTATGTGGGAATGCAAGTGAAACTAGGAACCATCTCTTCTTCTCCTGTCCCTACACTACTCATATTTGGGAAAAGATTTCTTCTATGCTGGAAATCCCATTAAACTGCATTTGGCAAGATGCTTTGAATTGGTTATGTAAGAGAGTTAAACATAAGGCATTGTATAGCTCTCTTCTTAAATTAGCTTGGTGTGCATCAATGTATCATATATGGATTGAAAGAAACAGTAGGATACATAGACAGCTATACAGATCTCCTTCTGCAATAATTGTTATGATTCAAATGGATGTCCGAGACAAAGTACTGGGGTCTGTAAAGGAAAGGCCTTCTCCTATGTCAAGGAAAATTGCAGCTCAATGGGGATTAGAAATTTTATGTACAGCTAAGGTTTGAACATACTTTAGTTTAGAAGTTATTTCATTTTTTGTACTAACATTAGTAGTAGCCTTAAAAAGAGCTGTTTTGTATATATTTTGGAAATAAATTCACATTTTACCAAAAAAAAGCCTTAATCATTCGTTGTCAATTACCGAACAAATCCACCAAACGGTTTGAAAACCAGACTGGATTGGTCGGTTGGACCAACCCCCGATGATAGAAACGAATCAGGTTGATATCTTAAACCGTTTAGACAATTGAACCGCGTTCAAACCATCCAAACCGGTCACCCATCCAACCAGTCGGGCCAACTCTTTAAACGAAATTCTCCACAATTTGCCTCGTTTGGGTTTTGAACACCAGACCTCATGAGAGGTTGCAAGTCATTTACCACTAGAGCCACCAACCTGTTGTGAAAGATGTTGCACAGAATACCTTTTTAAAGAGTATTGGGTGGATTTTAAAGGAAAAATGACTTCCTTCGGATCCGAACACTAATCTCTTGGATGTTTAAAATGATCTTTGCCACTTGATCCAAAACAAGTTGTGGTCCATTATATGCGTTAAGAGATATTTATTATAATAGAATTATATAAATTGAATAACTTTAACATGTGTGAGATTAAAACCCGAGTTCTCTTCAACATAAGAAGGGAACACTAACCACTAGAGTCACGACTAATTGATTGTAATAAGTTGCATTATATTATATTTAATATATACATGTAAAATTCAATCAACCCAATTTTTTAACAGATTAAACCATCAAAACCATAAACCGAAGGTCAAAATGATTCAACCTCCGGTTCGGCTTTAAAAACAATTCCAAACCTAAACTCCTCGGCTTCTTATTTTTTGTGTTGAATTCACCTGCCAAGCAATATCTGCCCCCCTAAATCAATTCACAGGACCCATTCCAAATTTCCAAACACCAATACCCAAAAATTCCCAAGAAACCATCATCATCAAGATGCTTCTCGATATCAGAACTCAGAAGCAGACCTGGCCCCATATCATTTGAAGGTTAAATAGAGAATTCAAGCAATGTGGGTAGGGTAAGTGATGTATCAATTTGTACCCAAAATTCTAAAGTTGATTGTTGTAGACAATGCTCTGCAAATTACCAACAAAGTGATGGTCTAGGTGCAAGGTAATTGAGCATCATCTAAAAGGAAACCATCAAGAAAACTCGTTACCTAAACTCCGCCAATTACCGAACAATTCCTCTAAACCTAAACTCCTCAGGCCTCTTAATTTTTGTGTTGAATTCACGTGACAGGCAATATCTGCCCCCCAAGTCAATTCACTGGACCCATTCCAAATTTCCAAACACCAATACCCAAAAACTCCCAAAAAACCATCATCATCAAAATACTTCTCGATATCAGAAGCA